AACGTCTGCATGTAGTAATCTAACATTTTCGTCAAAGGTGTATTTCACGCGTCGCAAGGTGCTTGTAAAATTACAAAGCGTAGCTCTCGTTTTGTAAAAAATAGGGCCAAGAAACTTGCCAAGGTTTACGGCTGGCGGTGACGGAGAAGATCAAGTCGAGTAGCGGGGTTTGTTTTGCGTTCGTATTGATAGATGGCGTCGGTAGCAGCGTCCGAAGGTTCAGCCGACCAGCGAAAGGAAGCAGACGACACGCAGGCAAAATCTGGTGGCAGCAAAAACGCCATCGTTATGCAGACGGGTTTTCTTTTTTCTTTTACTTTAAGTTTTGATTTTATTGTCCGCATTTATTTAAAAAAGGTACATTTCTAAAATATTATGTTAATTTTAATAAACCAAGGTGCTCGCGAGCCGTCGCGATAAGGAGGTAGCGTTATCTATCAATACGATCGCGTGATACTCCCCGCTACAAGGCTTGGTCGTCTGCGTCGCCGCCCGCCGTAGACCCGGGAAAGTTTCTTGGCCTAATTTTTTTACAGAAAGGAAGTTACGCTTTGTAATTTTACAAGAAAATGCCGACCTGTGAAATGCAGCTTTGACAAAAAATTCAGATTGCTACTTGGAGGCGTCGATTTTAACGGTCTATTTTAGATAGAGCCAGGTTAATTCAGTCACCCTATATATAGAGCATGGGTGACCAAGCTGCGCCTGGCGAGCCGCATGCGGCTCTTCACGTGTTAACGTGCAGCTCGCGGCTCGAAACGAGAACTACTTTCAAAGTACCACTGGAGCCCCCATGCAGGAGCGTGACGTACTAAAAAGAGTTTTCGGTATCTCAGCTCTCGCGCATCTCTAGCGCCTATCAAAGCTATGCGCTGGCAATCTTGGTATACTCAAAGAAAGGTCAGAAAAAAATATTCCTGACTTGTGTCAGTACGGTGAAATGTACCTTGGAAGTTTGCAATTGCACGCGATGCCCACACATGAACGACACGCGCTTGGCGGTCGAAATATCATTTTATGACGTAACGACTGGTTGGAGATCTTTCGTGTTTTCTTGTGTTTAGGTACATATTCGGGGAAAATGAATTTGATATTCAGATTCACGGGATAAAATTACACAAGAATTCACCTCACTAATTGTTTCCAAGAACCTCTCAGACTTATCTTGGAAACAGTGCACAACCAGAAAACACTTCTTTTTTATAATTAGGGGGCTTATATATATGGCATTTAATAGATGTAATAATTAGCAGCCTGCCGTAAGCACAGCTCAGAAAATAAACGGGACATTATGACGAGACGCATTGAGGTTGGCGCAGTTTCCCCTTTGCATGCCGGCACGCGTGTTATAAAAACAACTTGCAATGCAGCAGGTGGGCCATGTCAGACCGATACGTACAGGCTTCAAAATTTAGAAACTTGTGGAGATTTCTATTTTTAATACAAAGTGAACTTAAAATAAATCATTTACGAGGTTTTACATTTTAAGCTGAAATCGTAAATTGTTCTCTGGTAACTAATCTAGGTTTAATTTACAATGGAGGTTTAAACTATGTATCTCACTCGGAAGGTTTAAGTTTTGTAGCCTTTTTTCGGTGTATATATGGTTGATAATCATGCTTGGGTAGTAATTCAATTACAGTGACTGAATTACTGTAATTTAATTAATTTTCTTCGTAATTTGTAATTACAATCAATCAGTTCCGGCCAAAAGGAATTGTAATTGTAATTTAATTACTTACTAGCGTCAGTAATTGCCAAATTTTAGGCACAATTACAATTACTTTGGCAAAACTTTGCGGCGCCGACAGAACCTCTCTGAAAGCCTCAGCGCTCGCACAAGCGGCCTAGCTTTTGGTGAAACACTTGCACAAAGACACGCACTCACATGCACGCGCAACATAAATAGCATCGCATCGTTTGTTGTTTTGTTGCTTACACTGCGGGCTGAGAGACAATCCTCTTTGGAGCCTACCTCAACGGCGCCGTGTTGCGCCGTCTGCTGCGCGTGCAGAGAGCAATAGCGTAAACATGCCGAAATATTGAGAGGAAAAAAATTTAGCTTCAGCTTTCATTTGAGCTAGGTAATTTTAATTGTCTATAAAGTTTTTTGCCAGTTTTTTACGTTTTATCTTTGTATTATTTTCAAGGTTATCTCCTGTTTGTTTTACTTCGTATGGTTTTTTGCATAAGCGTTCTGGAGACTGACTTCGCACCTGTGAATATTGTTAGAAACGATTCGGGAGCCCCGATTCGGATTTTATATATTCCTGGGCCATTATAATTTCAACTCAATGTAAATAATTCACATACCATGATGTTTGTAAGTGAACGAGATCGTAATAGCGCGTGGATTTTGAGTTTTATATTAACACTTGCAAAATATTCATATATGAGTAATTGTCGCATTTTTATTTCCCGGGGTAACAAAACTCTTTTAACTGAATTTTTTCTTTAGCGATGTGGCGTCTCCCATCATATGAACTAATTTATTATTATTTATAAAAAAAATATAATACTTCATTGCCTAAACTGTCAAGTTCAATGATGAATTTAACAAAATTTATTAAAGGAAAGTACAATACTTGGCATTTATGTTGCAATGCTTAAGCCTCCTCAAACATCGGGGCAAGGAAATAATAAATATGTTGTATTCTACGCAGCTCGTTTGAAGTTATATGGCCAAAGTCGAGAGGCTTTCATAACTAAGTAATAGTAAAGTAATTGCATAAATTTTTTAGAAGTTATTTGTAGTTGTATTGTATTACTTTTCCCGTAGTAGTAATTGTAATTGAACTTAAACTACTTTTGAAGCAAAGTAATTGTAATTGTAATTAAATTACATTTTGAAAGTAATTTATTTATGTATGCTGATAATAAAGTACTCGTGACCTGATCCGATGGGTGCACTGGACCAAAGGTTAGCTTTACAATATTATAAACTGCGATCGAGAAAAGGGGGTTAAATCAACATATAAAAAAACTCATCCAAACCTCTTTCCTGTTTACTGTTATGATAAACCAAATGGCGAGAATTCTTTCATTGCTATCAAAAACAGAAGTCCAATTAAAATTGTCCTTTAGGCGAGTCGATAGGCGTTCACAGTAACAAACAGCGCGCCTAGGACGTGGACAAGTCAGCGCCTGTTCAGATACTCCAGGCGCTGACTAGCAATTGAAATTTTATTGGAACAGAAGCACGAAAGTGACGCTAATGATCGCGCAGGCAAAGGCACGGCATGATCTTCAAGGATTTTGTTTTTCACCTGAATTGCTAACCCGAAATAAAAAGAAAATCAATTCACTCTCCGTAAGTGTCAATAATAACTGGCTTACGGACCTGAATTTTTTTGTTGTTTTATGCTGTGCTGCATTTATCTTCCATGACAATTGGTCCTTGTGTTGGAACAGCACTGCTGTGTTTTCGAAACGTGGTTCGCACCCGCAATCTTGGCGATCAATTGCTAAATGCGAGTAAGCTGTTCCTTTCAAAGGGATTTGGCCTTCCCAGAGTCAGTTGTTCATGCATCGCCGGTCTGCCCCACATATGAATGGCGGCAGGAGAACGGGGTCTTGAACGGGGTCGCTCCTTTAAAACAGGATACGAATTTTATTTCATGTTTTACGTTACACACACTAGGGTTCCGTGGAGTTTTTTTCCTCCGCGTTTGTTCATGGAAGAGCATATTCGGCTTCGATTGCGCGTTTCTGATATATAAACATTGCAGTTGCCATTCAGCACTTGCAAAGCGTATCTGTTTTCTGTGTCCTCGTCCCAGTGGCCCTTTTTTCACTTTAAACAGAAGTCCAACTAGATGTCGTGCCGTAGTACAACTATCGTATTTTATTTATCAATTTTGATTTGAGCAGGTTGTACCGCTCTATCTGAACAAAGCGCGTTGGTTGGTCTGGCCGTTCCTTATAGTGAAATTGCATTGGGTCGAAGCACGGAAATGTAATTAACTTTTTTTTTATAAATATGGTGTTTTATTTCTTTGACGTACTTGAAGCTGCTGTTCGTATTTTTGTTTTGTTTTTAACTGCGCAACAAAACAAAACTAAATACTGCTATCAACCCCTCGTGGCATTTGGCATTGAGTGGAGCAATCTTTGTATATCGCTTTTGCACTCCCTTCCAATACCAAAGACACCACTAAAAATACTTTGAATATGTAGGAGGCTCTTGCTGACTGGTGTTCGAATTCGAATTCTTTTTTGTTATCATTCCGATGATATTTTATGTTATGTGCGGAAGCGGAGCCGGTGCGAGCGGGAAAACTAAGTTTATGCACCGGTTGGGAGATCCGGCACACTTTAATCTAGATCAGTTATTGATTTCGGCTTTTGTCAGCCTTTGTTGTGTTTACAAAAACAATGTCGTCCACATCTGGATAATTCCCAAATCGGCACATGCACAAGTCTCTTACCGCTGATATTTTAAAACGAAAGTACATATTTTGGTGACATTGTATTCTGCAGAATAGTAGCACACGGTCCGGTTTCTTGGTGCACTCTGAAAAAGTCCTGCGAACACTTGACTAATATGACAATTAGTAACCTGTACCTGTGAATGTTGTCAGGAAGCTGTATTTATTAATTCTATTCTTCTGATATTGATTTTTAAAGTAAAACTGAAACGATCAACGGTAAAATCAAAAAGTTGTAATACAACGCTTCAGCATTCCCTAATTGCAATGATTACGTATGCCGCCACTGATCATTTCTTATTATTTTCACTCATTAGTATAATAACATTAATAAAATTCTTTCCTTTCTGTGCTCACAAACAACTTTGCAGTCTCCATGTACTGTCATTCTAGTATTATATAATATATATTAACCATATTTTATATAGTAACAATATATAATATACACAATATATTATATAGTATCAATAAAATGCATACATAATATAGACCACCGATGCCAGGCACCGAAATCTGTTGAGAGCCTGATAACTATGTGTACAATGATGTGTAAAACACAAACAACCGAAAATATATTAAGGAATCGACACTTGAGTTTATTGTAATTGTCGGGTTTCACTTGGCGGCTGATCTCGGTTGCTCATCATGCGTGTAGGTGCTCAAAGCCGAGGAGCTTTCCAATGACCATATTCGTCTTTTTCACCATAGCCTGGGTCAGTTTCCTTATTTTCTTCTTTAACTTTTGGGGTCTTGGAGGCACTTATTCGAAACTCTTCGCACAGCTCCTTTAACTTTAGTTCTGTAAGCTGGGCGCTTTGTGTCGTTTCTGTATTGTCGTCCGAGGTGTAAAACCCCATTCCCATAAGCCTTTTTCCCAACTTCACAAGTTGATACCCAATGCGATGTTTCCAACTGGAGGTATCTGCTTGATCTGCGATACAAAAACAATTAGTGTTAGGTATGTCGTATTCAAAGATTGCGTTCCAGCCTAAGTACACCATGTGCTAAGTCATAGTCGACTTGTGAAAAGTTAAATCTTTGTATTGGTGTCAGCGTTTGACAGAAGTGTGCTATTGAACGTAACAGGTAACAGCAATTTTTAATTGTTTTCAATTATATATACAGTGTATATAATAGGCCCTACGTACTAGCTACCACTAGAAAGGTGTGTCAGATTAAGTTCATAAATTTGACCTTCCTCAGAAACAAGCAAATCATTAAAAAAAAACATTAAGCCAGTTGGTACTAAGAAAACAGAATTACACCACCCCGCGAGTTTTGCTCGCTTAAATTTCAAGACTCGAGTTAACGGGGCTAAATAAATTTTAAGTATAGCAACGACAGTACATATTCATTTTATTTTGATATAATCAGTATATTTCCCTCTCCGCTACCGAAAATCACTTACAAATTGCGTGTGGTTTGTTACCCTGCCGTTCCATATACCCTAATATTTACACCTAATATTGTGATTTTAATAAATTAGAATACATTTTTAATAGTATGACAATAAATTGCGCCAGTCTATGATTCCTCGTATAAGAATTAAAAATAGTGTAAATCGCATCGATGTATGCATTTACAATAATAGTTTTTCTATTGTTTTACAAGCTCTGCCTTTTCTCATCGGTTTTTTTTTTGTGTGATGTGAAACTTCTCTGCGAGACGTAAAAAGTATTACCTTCAATAATATGGGCCGAAGGCTCACTGAAAAAGGAAGAACGCACATTTTTAGTATCTTGACGTTTCACGGTGGCATCAGAATTCATATACCAGAGCACAAATTGGATCTACTTACAGAGAGTGTCCACCTGATACAAAAACAAACAAACAAATAAACTAGAGAATTTTTGTAAAAGCAAAAGCTTTAGAAACTTTTTTCAATACAAGTACTTACAAGTAGTCATTGTTACAGCAACAAGCAGCAACACGATGAGCCTCATGATCCCTGCAAATTTGTTTCAATAAAGTGCACACAGACATCTGCATTAAAATAAAAAATATAACTCGTTTTACTCAACTCGAAACGGTTACCAGTACCTAACACAACTGACTGATACATACATTGGTTCTAACATTTCTGGGTATTCACGCAGAGCCTAACATCCCAAGCTCTTGCCACGCTTTCTAAGCTGTCCAACAGTGTCAAACAAGGAAACACCCAGAAAATATTACTCTATTTCGAACCGGGCCGCAATTAGGGGATATTGCATAGAGACAAGGTTTTAATTTGGAAGGCGACGATTATTAAAAAAGACCACCCAAAATTTGTTTGTCGTAAACAGCACATAATGAATAAAAGAAACTGCAAATAAATCATGACTCGCTATTTATTTATTAATTTATCGAAATTGAAACAGTTACTTCCCGAAACTCGCAAGATATCATGATTGGCTTATATTAATTTGGTTGAAAGTAATTAACGCACCAGGGCACAATAACAATATAACCGTATTTGCGACACTATGAAATACTTTCTGGGGAATCATTGTCTCGTCACTGTAAACGTTTTATTTTCAAGTTTTCTGCGCAGAAACGTATGCATATTAGGGATCATTATGCCTTTGTTAATGGAGTAGCCTAACGAAATATTAAAAAAAAAATACAATAGAGACCTGCGTGAATCACGTTGCACTTGGAAAACATTTAAATTAATTTCAGACGGTAATGCGAAATCCTTATGCAGGAAGATGTGGACTCTATAAGCAAAGACGTCTCACGATTAGGTCCTTATAGATTCCATAACCTGCCTCGCACTTTACGAATCGAATATTATTAAAAAAAGTATCATAAACATAACATGAAGTTGAAAGAACGCGTCCAATCAATATTGAGGTAAACGGAAACTTTCTCGACCATGCAGAAAACTGTCACAACGTCTTGTTTACTCATCTTCTGAAGCATTGAATTTGCCCGAAATGGCAAATATTCGCAGGTAGCATAACAAACACTGATAATATTATTACTTTTAAAAATTGACATAATCATTTCTAAAAAAAGGTTCTTCATCAGACATTTTCAGAAACAGTATTTTGCGTAAAAGACGTATTTTACTTCTCTCAGATAAACTGAGTTTAAGTTACATACCCGACTGGTCTTCTACAGGGGACAGATAAAACGGTTACGATTGAATGAGACATTTGTTAATGCATCTTCGATATTTATAGGATATATCTCCAAGAAGAACGAAGTCAATGGCCAGGCTTAGGTGTCGCAATTCGTTTTTATTTTTGCCCCGTTGCATGAAATATGGCTCATTTCACACGGCGCATCCGAGAGGAAATATGCGACCTGTGAAATGGGTTCAGATCTGTGAATCAGCTTATCGCTCTTCATGTGAGACCTCCGCCAGAAGGAATCACTTTATCTATATTTCACGATGAGGGGTATTCACCGGATGCACATCGAGGTCGTTCGCAGCTGATTCTCTGGATTATAGCTCCCATTTAGTATCTTCCAAGAACAAAAATACAGATTAGGTGAAAAAGTCATTGAACGCCCATATACGTGCATTGCACCTATTCAAACTTTTTTGTTTTTGGTTTTCACTGGATGGGTGCAGCCTCCGAGCATGCAGTGCAAATAACGACCTGAAGTGTGACTTAAACGACTAGCCACGGAACATTAAACAACTACAGTGAAGTCTAAAGGGCGCTTCACAAAATGCATAGGTTTTGTTTTTGGTTTCTGTTGTAAACTAAGCGCACCGTAAATCAGTAAAGAACATGCCGTAATTGGTCGGACACTACAAAACGCCTGTCGTTGACTGATGCACACCAATTAATAACTATTGAAACATCAAAAGCTTATCAGATTGTTAGTGGCAGGCGATAGACGCCAATATGGCGAGCATATGACACTGGGAAAATTGTAAGTTCAGTTATCTAGCGCGTGCATTAATAAACTGAGTTCTGAACATTATCGTTCTTTGAGCGGATTCAATATGGCTGCCGAAAACGCGCTTCTTTTATTAAATAACACACTTTGAATGACCGCGGTCATAAAAAATTAAAAAGTGTATATCTGCACACTTCCCTAGAAATAAATCGAACAGACAATGAGACTGCGGTCGACCAAATGTTTTGATGACAAATATCAAAACAAAAAATACTTTGATTGAAAACCAATGCTTTTGCCGTGATGTATTTCTTATAATATACTCATCGTCCTCAGTTAAAGTGAGTGCTCTAGTTAAGCCGTTGTTTTTGAAGGATGCGATCAGAAGGTTGCGTGGTTCGCCACTCTAATTTTCTAGAGCAAAGTGGAAGTGCAAGAGTTAGCTCAGAGCATAACACTGCTGCAATTCATTGCCTGTTCATAACCTTTAGTGTTGCAGCCTGCTCTGCGTGCCGGGTTGACTCGATGAGATTGGCGCTTTTAACGTGCTTCGTAAATCGGGTCCTTAATATATCACTAACAGTTTGCTACAGAGAGAGCTCCATAGATAGTTCTTTTTTTCTTTTCATTGTAAAAAATAACCATATTTTAACCAAAAAATTAAGAAAAATGTTTTTTTTTTTTTTTGTTTTATGTAAGGCGTCCGTTCCCAAACGACTAGGTTATAACTGGCGTAACACCCGTCAGATGGAGACAGCGGTTCCCTCCTCGAAAAATTACATTAAATTGACAAAAACGACGGGCGCCGCCTGACGGTAATAATTGCGGTGCAGTGTTTTGTTAGTCCTTCTAATAAAGCATTCTGATTGAACAAAAGTAAAAAAGACGATACTCTATAGTCAGTCAGTAAACGATGTATGGGTGAGTAATCACGACTGTGTGATATATATTATCCAGTCTTATTAAAACCCTCCGCTTTCGGTGAAGGGGGCACCGCCACCACCTGTGGGCTGTTATATCAATTAGACATGTGCAGCTTGGAGACCAACGCCCTATGTATTCACCTGACTTCCTATTTTTGCTTAAATAAAAGATTTTTAGGTATGTGCAGAACGGCTCTCGCGTCACTCCGACGTGGTGACGCAGCTGTTGGCAAAATGTATGCGCGAACGCTTCACTGCACATATTTTGAAGAGCGTGACAGTCTTCGGACTGATAAAACTCGTATACCCAATTTATCAAGGAGACGTTCATCATTATAAATATAACCTCGGCGAAATATATTTCATAACTTATACGCACAAAAGGTTGATAAATAAACTTTGAGACGTATGTCGTTCAATTGATCAATACAACCCAATATATCACTCTTCTGCTACAACATTTGATAATAGTGTTGCTCTAAATAAAAATCATAATATCCGTATAGCCACTTACTAAAATATGTGACGTCATTAAATCTTTGAAGAAAACTATCTGCTTTTAAATAGGTGAATTATTGAAAGATTGGTGTTGTGAGCTCGAATGCTTTCAATATATTGGATGGCAAAGAAAGAAAGACCTGAGGGCAGAAAAGTGTAATAGCACTTATCATATCCTGCACTGTATTACCACAAGGGGTATATATTATCCAGCATGGTAACTAAACCCATATTAAAATTATATCGTCAACCCGAATCCAAAAATGGCTTCAACTTCGAGGTTTTAACTGCCCGTAAGCACACATAATTTACAGTTACCAGATTTAGGCAATGTCGAATGCCTTAACCGTTTTATACAGTACCTCTGTAAACGGCACTGTTATAATTAGAATGTTCATTGCAGTGGGAGATTTAGTTCGCATGAGAATATGTCCATATGTTTACGGAAGCGTACTGCTAAGAATCCCACATTTAATCTAAATTGAGAGATAATCTTTTTTTTTTTTGCTCAAGATAGTACTTTTGTATGTTACATGATACTTCTTAGTAACGCCCCAGCAGTGTGAAAACGACATCTGTCGGCAGTTTCCGAACTATATAACACATCCGACTCCTTCTATAGAAAAGGCCTTGTTTTTGAGAAAGGGGTAAGCTCTGGAATATTGTATTATTATTAATTTCAATTAGAACTGTGATACTTTTAGAAAAATTAGCTCACATACTAAATTTTTTTCTGGTAATAGTCAATAAGCAAATGCTCGATTTACGCGTTTCACGGAATTTAGGTGAAAGTCAGAATGTTTTAGAAACCTTTGTTTTGAACATCGCTTTTTGGGCATATTTTGCTCCCTTAAACACGCTTGCATAAGAAATGCTGTTTCTAATTTAATTGTTGGGCGTTAATGTGACCGATATTATAGTGCGATCTAACTCTTTTAACTTTGGAATTGTAGTTTTTGTAACTTCATAAATATCTCAAATGTTTTTAGAACAATAACCTATATTTTTTTAACTTGAATAAACTAGGACGTCAAGGGAGAAAGCTACGTCATGTATATGCAAAAAAAATATTAAAACGCAAGGATAAGTGTTCGTTTTTTTTGCATTTCCTTTCAGTCAGGCACACGGAAGTTGCATTGCTCTCGTCATGAAGATACTGACTACTTTCTTGATCTGCATTTGGATTGCCGCCGCTGAAGACTCGGGTTTGTATTCAGTTTTGCCTTTAGAACTTAACTATATCGAAAAGGACCCAACAGAAAATAAATAAAAAAAATATTTTACAAACTTTTGTTTTATTTTTTGGCACAAATACGTTACGCAATTGATAAAATTGAAATTGAGATTTATCATTGCTTTCTTGATCATAAAGAGTAATACTTTCCTAGCTTTTATTTACATCGATTACGCTCTAAGCCGTCAAATTATTCTGGAACTGTGACTTTGCTTCACTGCACAACGTGAATTTTTTTTTTAATTTTACAGTAATTCCCGAGAAGTACACACAAAATATTGATGTTGAAAATTGCACATTAATTTTTATATGAATTACTCTATAGTATATGTATTACCTGGAGTAATTTTTGAGAATTTATAACCTGCAAGTCTATACGAAATTGTGCTTGCCTAAAAGCACAACTTTGTCTGTCTTAAACCAAGTTTCACAAGGCATACATTAAGAGTAAGGATATAAAAAAATATTGTGGATATTCTTATTCACACGACGGGTTAAATGGTCCCCTTGACTATTTATAAAGGATACTGTAGAGTAGCTAGATACTAGTATATGTAAAAGCAAATTAGCATTCAATTCAAATCTCTGCTCTTGAAGTTTACCTTCTTTACTACAGCATCCACTATGTTTTATCACCCAAGACGATTGCTCGCAATAATCTTACTTTTATTATTAAACTAAACATTTTGCACTGGTCAAGAGTGTTCTCATTTTGCTTCGCTTAATAATTTAATTTATCTTTGATGGTTTGGCATTCAGGGTATGCGTATTTAACTTGCCATGGTCCTGCATCTATTTCATGCCGTGGATTGGTTCTAATCAAAATGGCAAAGAATTTAGTTCAGTAGGAAGACAGTTCTTGAATTGGAGAAGCTTATATATCAAGCATTTTGTCTCGAAACTACTCGACGCCATCATAATAACACAAGTCAAAAAAAGGTTATTCTAACAATTTCTAGTTATGTTTGCTTTTTTTCGTAGACGATATACAATATGTGAACACCGAGCTCGAGATTGAGATTGGCAACGTGTCCCAGGCCGAAACGCCGGCCACATGCTGCGAAGATAACGATGAGCTCCCTGCCACGAGTACGTCGCCCTTCTACACATTATTGGGGGAAAAGCAGGGGCGGATGCAGTAATTTCCTGAGGGGGGGGGGGGGGGGGTCAAATGTTGGCCAGCGTACCATATGTTCAGGAACCGTCTCCCTTTTTCCTTCTATCTACGCACTAAATTTTACACATGCAGAAATCAAGGGGGGTCAGGACATCCGGACCCCCCCTTTAAATCCGCCCCTGGGGAAAGTAGTTTAAGGCACTCTTTTTTTGCCCAGTTTTAAAGTCAGCCTAATAAATAAAATAAATTATAACTAATTCTAAGAGTAATTTAGGCCGGTACTAATAATTAAGTGCTTTAAACGCTGTTATTGCAAAGTATCCCTGCCATTAACTAAAAACGTTAATAACCAACGTTCCCTCATCAGACAACCGGTTAAATTGTAATCGTTATATCTAAATGTCCGCCTAACTTTTGTGCATTTACTTGAGACTGCGGTTCTGTAAATGACAGCACAAACACATAGACGTCTCACGCATAACAGCGGTGCTTCAGACTTCTCTTTTTGTGTAGTACTTTGCAAGCCCCAGTGACGAGTGAATTCATTACGTCGCTAATGCACTAGCTAGGTTGCGCCCTCGTTTTTTTTTTCATTTAGCCCGAAAATATGTTTTAAATTAAATTTTTAATGCGTTTTGATGTGTTTAATCATGTCGAATTAAAATAAGCCACCCTTTGGAAAAAGTATAATCGAAAAATAGTATAGAAAAATAAGAATCATAGTTATAAGAGAAATATAAACGGACCGTCAGTTTTATTGTTATACCCTCCTATGCTTGTTCCCCTCTAGTAAAATATTTTTATAGGTAATAAATCTTCTAATACTAAAATTAACTAATTAATTCGTATTTTTCGCTTTCCAGATGGTGAAATGTGTCTTGCGCGTTTCATAGGGAAGGTTTTCAAGGAAGTGGGGATCACACTCCAAACAAATGAGCTCAAAGAATATGTGTCCCTTTCTCCGCCAGGTCAACTTCTCTATGAATGGTTCACAAACTTTTTAAATGCTACGGGAAAGAACTACACACAACATGAAATCGACCAACTTGGGGAAAGCATAGAATTATTCGCGATCTTTCTAATTACACGTAGTGATGAAATGTAAGTGAACTGGTGTCCTTCTTTGTTCATTGGAAATGCACGTAGAAGCGAAATGGCACGGCATACATCATACTGCAGAGAGACATGTCCGCAAAATTATCATCATGTTTATAGCTCTTAATTTCGACATAAGAGTTTTCCCAATAGGTATTACAGAAGATGCTCTCTCGAATTGACATTGGCTGTCTTCAACTGTTGTCACATTCGTTAAGATATCTAGCTTCCAATATTACGAGAATATTTTCTATAAGCTGAATTATGAATATATTGTCTCAGCAAACGGCATTGTAAGTTTTATTCAGAAAAAAATATTGAAAGGTGGTGAATTTAGATAAGTAGTCGTTTTTAGAACGTTTGAGAGATTGTTTAAAACTAGTTATGAGCCATCTTGAGTGAAATTGGAAGTTGTTTATCTGGTTGTGCTTCTGGCAGAAATTATCACGTCACAGAGGTATGATCAGCCCCTAAGATGATGTCTAAAGGAAAAAACACATGTCTGAATGAAATGGATTGCAATATGAGCAGGCGTCGGAACAAGCAACAAGCGTTAAAAATACGATATTCGTACAGTAAATAAAGTGTATACAAAAAATAAGCCTAAGAAATTCAGCCTGTTTTTGGACAAAAGCATATTTCATTGCTAATTTCTGATTTTCGTTCAATTATGCAATTTTTTAGAATATTTATTCTATCAAGAAACAAATACACACCATTCTCTGATTCGAGGCTACGCTCTTGTACAACAAACATTCTGTGGGTTCGCACATATTACGAATATATATATATATATATATATATATATATATATCAAAAACGCAAAGATATGGCTTGAGTTTCAACACAAATAATGTATTCACATGCTAAGCGTGTCTGTCCTCATATTAATATAAATACCTCAGCAGATTTGATTAAACACAGGTATCTTTTTTCGAAAAAAAAAAAGAAAAAAAACCTGGCTGACGGTAAAGTGGGTCGTACTACTATGGGTTCCCGGTATTACAAGTGCTACAAAGCAGGCGTTCTCAAAAACACCATGTGAAAAACAAGGGCGTGACAATAAAAAAAAAACTATTTTCGACGATTTAATTATCTGAACTTGTTAAGAGTGCCTTCAATGGGCGCTGAACAAATACTTTGCTATGTATTGAAGTGTACTCGGATGAGATTGACGACGACGACGAGAACAACGAAGAACAGGGTCGTACGGAATGGCGAGAAATAAATAAATGCTTAAAAAACCAGTGAGCTTGCAATGAAATTCTAGGGATTATTTCACGTAGAATACGTTTATCTCTGCTACTTACATTAGAAAGCGTTCCTACAGCGCTTAATTCTCCACAAGTGGTGTAGACGCCTCGCGTCCGAGAGCGGTCAAGCGGTAAGCAAGAATACCATGGTATTCTTTCTTATCGCTCGAGCGGCTCATATTATTGATGTTAAAATTCATTGTGAGCTGATGTTCAACCGCCTCAATGGCATGGGTTGACCACGCCGGCGGCGTAAGCATAAGGATCAAGTGTGATACGCTACAGCGTTCCTGGCTTGATCTGATGTCTGACGCCACGATCGTTCCACGCTCTGTGCTCGGTCAGCCGCTCTTCTTCACCGAGTGTCTCAATGCTCACACCCCCTCTCTTTTTGAGGTTGTTTATCATGTTTGATTGCCGTTTTGTTTCGCAATATCAACAGCTAAAGCTTGAGCGGTAACTTCCATTACGGGCAGAGTTTCCACCGAAGGGTTTTTGAAATATATTGCAATAACTTCAACTGGAAGCTAGCACAGAAAACATAAAAAAGTCACAATAATTACTGAAGTTATCGGCTGTTTCTCTGCGCTTTCTTCCACTCCGGCAAACTCAGTGGCGCCGCTTATTTTTAAAAACGTTTCATCTTGCGCAACAAGTGACTCGTGTGAAGAGAAACAAGGAGCGAAATTTCAGGTGCTTTCACTTTACAATATATTAAGTACTGATGATAAAAACTGCGTTCAAGTATATCCCCTTAGGCGAACTCTCGGGCCAATGAGCCGCACACAGGACAGCAGGAGCAGTGTGAGAGAACGGCTGGGACATAGAGCAGCCAGATGTTTGTAGTCAAATTTATGAAAGAGCGAAATACCCATCATTTTTAATATACCTTAGGAAAATCTACTATGCAAATGCGTCGAGTTTCTTTAACATCAAACATGCAGAGGACCAGTCAAGAATATAGAGTACATCGCAGTCCTGATTGCGAACGAATTCGTACGTTTTGTGGGCACTTCTCCAGCAGGGCCAACGTGAGCAAACACGACTCAATTAGGAGCGAGTAAAAAAGTCTTGGGAAAGATATATTTCTGCCGCTTATTTTTTTAATACATCGCTTGAGAAACAATGGGGCTGAATTCCAGGTTACCACAATCACGTCACTCTTCGGTTGATCGCAATCTACCAAAAATATATAGAGCCATGAGGAATATGGGGGGGGGGGGGGGGGGGGCCTTTGTTTAAGATGGTGGAGCTGATATGAATTACAATGAGGTAAACTGACGCACCATACAGCCTTTGCCGAGATCCCCAAAAGAGATTGAACAGCATATTTGCTTCTTTGTTGTTGATTGTACTAGTATTTCTAAATAAAATAAAATTGCAATAGCTAGTATAAAGATAAAATATTCGTTGTTAGGCAAAAGGGAAACAAGAACTTCACCATGAACACAACTTTGTAAATAAGAAGTACTATTTTGAACATCTTGGGAAGAAACGGTGGCAAAGAAACTGGGACAAGAGTAAAAGAACAAACACGACAGGACGGCGCTGAACTAACAGCTGTTGTTTATTACACAAAAAGGGGGAAGGAAGAAAACAAGAAGCATCTTAATCAATAAAATAGTCGCAGACACGGGCCAACCAAGCAGCATATTATTTCAAGATAGGCCAAATCAGTGGCTACTTAATGCCCGTCATGGTCGATCGCAGGTACCCGAATTTTTTTTTTTTCAGATAACGCCACTGACGGTTCGCAGACGCATCTCAGGCCAAGTTCTGAGATAAAAAAAGGCCTCGATAATTTCCCGTGTTACTGTGTCTCTATGTCTATCCAAAACAGGGACTTCACTAAAATTAGGCTGAAGTCACTGTAGCATACGATGTCTTTCATATGTAAAAAAGTGATACCACACAACATTTATTTTCTTTCGTCATCATTTGGTATAGACCCTTTTTCTGTTTACAAACATGAACTGCCCCTTCCGTCCCAAGTGACTTGCGGTCGAACCGTCTTTCCAAGCATGTTGTACTTGCTTATGTCACAAGTGCTAGAAAGCATAAACACGGACAATAAAGTTGTAGATTTAACTAGGGTCTTCGGCTGCACTATATTACATCTTGAAGGTGGCAAGTTGGTTTACAAAAATACTCGAAACATTTTAACAGATGTCGCACTCCTTTGTTGTTTTAGCGTTCACCTGGAGAACTGGTGGTTAAACTTTTCATCTACATTTCAAGGAGCGGTGTTAAGGTGTCCTTTGTTGATTCTTTTCATAAAGCAGAAATTCTCTGAGATGTCAAAGACTTGACATAAAAGGGATCTATAGTGCAGTGGGCAATCGCTGCTGGTGATACCTGAGCTGCACTGGCCAACAACATTCACAGCGTAGATTGGAGCCCCAACATTTTTTTTTTTTTTATAATAGTGTCCCCTTCAGATATAAGCAATTCTGGATATGTTTTCATGTTCAGCAGGTACGCTGCACGTGAGCGTTGATGGCATGAAAACCGAAGAGGCAATCGCAAATATTTGCTAGACTGTACTCTCACCCCCCCCCCTTTCCTTCTGTGGTTCTAATATGACACCATCTCATTTTAATTTTTGTTTTTTGGCCACTAAAGGATGCTCTGCGTGGTTCAATGTTTTAAAACGATGAGAGCGTGATTCCTAGGGTAGAGAGACAGAAGCAGGAAATGCGCCTCGTACGAGGAAGACAGGCATGTATTTGTTTTGCGCTAGCGTAAAGCCTTCTATCTCAGAAGAAATTATGCATAGAAACTTAACACATATGCAGAAGACATGAAGCAATATCCTGTGTGAATTTTATTTTTTTTTCAAATAAACAGCTTATAAAAATGAGGTCTTTCTGAGCAACCCGCGTACATCACTTCCCCACATCTCTCAATACTCATTTTGTATGTGTGAGAATAGTATATCACTACTTTTCTAGGTTTCATGCTTTCCCCTTATGGTACGCATCAGTAGGTGAGTCTGAGGTCAAATTAGCAAAATTAAATAACGTAACAAATTATTCAATTTCTATACAAGAAATTTACAGTCCTCCCAAATCCTTGTCACGACATCTCGACCACTACTCCACACAGATTTATGCACAAACCCTTGAGAGAAACCACAACTAGGCAGAATCTAACACTAACCTCCCAACACAACATAGAACGGAACTACTTGCACCGTCCGGAGACTTGGAAGAGAAAACGGAAAAAGTACGGACGCCAACAACCGGGAATGCGACAAAGGAAAGGAAACACCGATTGGGCTTATTGGGTTCAAATCGGAATGTCGGGCAGCGGTACCGCCACCGTGCCGTTGGGAACTGGGGGCCCGTGTCCATCTACGCAGTAATTGACTTTGGCCGGGGACAGAGCCGGCCGAGACGACACAGTGTCAGTCCACCGTCCCCCATGGTACACGGCGCCGGTGGCTTGCGTTTCCTTGTGAACGGTTGTGGCTTCGAGAGACACAGTTTGTGTATGGTGGACAATCACTTCCTCCTTTCTCCATCGAAGCATTTGTCACGTGAGTGGTCCGACGTATCCCCCACCTCCGACTCAATGAGTCATTTGCCGCGGTCTCGCGTCCCTGTTCCGCGGCGCCTTTGCCGTTTGCTCGTATTGTTGTTAGCGGGGCAAGCGAACACTCGCGCCAATCCTTCACGTCCTCCGGCTAGGAGAAACTATCGCAGGAAAGTCGATACTTTCGGTCTCCCTAATATTCCCAGGACTGTTCGCAGAGAGATGGCTGATCACGTGCTGCAAATGTGGCAGCAATATAAAAGAAAAGAAAAAAAGTTAGAAAGCCGGCATGAATGACTAGACGGATAAACGGGTGGTTACTTGGATGAAGAAAGAATAAAACAATTAAAACGGAGACAACACAACCACAACTTTCAACTAGCAACAGACGACTAAACTTTCAACAGCGAGCAGCCGACCCAGTAGGAGTTTGGGAGAGAAGGGGGAGAGAAGGAAAGCGAAGTGCAAGTCAGGGTGGTAGGGTTATCTCGGATTTTGAAAATTCAACCTCAGTTTTCGTCAGCAGGAGGGAAGGGTTTGACACGTTGTTTTTTGCTGTGGTCATGGCGAATTATTCTATGGTTTTCCTGCCGAATCTGCTGTCATGCCCCCCCAGGATTTTTCTGTCATCAAAGAGGGGATGACAACGCAAACACGAACGGCCATGTATGACTATGGGATGATAAGAATCCGGAGAGGCCTTAGAAACTTCGTTGTGATGTTCGCGGAGTCTGTGATTGGCGCATCTGCCGGTCTGTCCTATGTATTGATGGCCGCAGCTCAAGGGGATAGAGTAAACTTTCTTCTCTTTGCATGGAATGAATTTCTTTTTTCGTGTTTGACAGTGCAGCCAATCGGAATCCGGTTGTTGTTCACTTGTTGACAGAGTTGTTTAAGACGCATGCGGCACGAGAAGACAACATTCGTGTCGAACTTTGAGGCAATGGACTTTATCCGGTGGGCTGAATTGTGTACGTAAGGAATGACGGCGAATCGGGCTTTCTTTTTTGTGGCTGGTGACTGGCGATCAGGCCCGCGAATCATCCTTTCCATTACAGATAGGAGAAGGTCGACAGGAAACCCTGCCCTGACGAGCCTCATGTGCTGCTGTTTGAAGCTATCTTCTGAAAGATGACAGCAAGACTTCGTGAAGGATGAAGAAAACAACGATTTGATGGTACCGTGTTTTACCGACTTCGAATGGGCGCTAGAAAACGGTAGGACAGGTTTAGCAGACCTTTGTTGAAAGGCCCAGCAGAGTCCAGTGGCACTGACATGAAGCCGCAAATCTAGGTACTGAAGACCTTCATTCGATGGTTCTTCCTTCGTGAATGTAAGGCCTGAAGAACAAGCGGAAAAAACAGCTGCAGTGCTATCTGGAGAAGTTCGAGCAGGATGAATGGTTAGGTAATCGTCTACATATCTGAAAACATGGCAGCCAGGCGCGGAGATGTCCAGTTGTGCTTTTATAGCTCTGTCAACGAATAAAAGGAATAATTCGCTGAGAACAGGGGCGAGACATGAACCGATGCAAACTTCCTTTTTTTGGCGGTAAATCCCTCTTTCATGTTCGACTAAGGTGGACTGGAGATATAGATGAATCAAGTCAACGAATCCAGCAACGGAGACACCGGAGCAATTCTGAAAATCCACAGCTCCGTGCTCAAAGATGGCGTCGGAGACTGAGGCAAGCAAAACGGTAGGATCTAGACTGAAATACATGTCTTCTATGTCAAGTGAAAAAATTTAGTGGGGCAAGGAGAAGAAATGTTTGGAACTGATGACAGAGATGAGTTCTATTGAGTTAGACACTCTAAAGGGTTGAGAGAGGTAGATGCAGGACAGATGCTTTTGTAGAAAGAGCCCGAGCTGCTTCTGCCAACAACCCTTCTCCGACACAATACTTCGGAGGGGAACTCCAGTCTTATGTGTTTTTGCAGTGAAGAAAACTGTGGATTTTCAGAATTCCTCCGGTGTCTCCGTTGCTGGATTCGTGGACTCCGCTGAACTACCAATGACGGTTTTTAGGGACGACAGGTTCAAAGACGAGCAGAGTTGTTTAGCTCTTGACCTGAGGGTCCCAGACGGTCGCGATTTCAGTTTGAGAAAATTCTTTGAAAGGGCGGCGTTCACCTTATCTCCAAAATCTCCCTCCTCTAACACAACAAACACACCCGTCTTATCGGATTCTAACAGCTTTAGGTGTTCTTGACGAAGCTCTTCAACAGCAGCGAGTAGAGAAATCTTGCCTGGCTTGGGGGATGGGTGAAAGCACACGGCGCGGATGGCGGAGCCGAGAAAATCTTGCCTTTGTGGTTCTGGGATGGCGACGGCGAGTTGATGTACTGAGGCGAGTTGATCAACCTTCTTAGTAGAAAGGTCTGGGGCGAACTTGGGGCCGTTGGAGAGCAATTCCATGGTGTCGGACGAGATAGCAGTGTTGCACAACAGGACTGGCGGTTCGAACTTCGTCTCGTTCCGCTTACGGCAGGAGGCAGTCACTCCAGCAATCACTTCTTTCCGTGAAGCTTCGAGGAGGCGAGAAGCGGCGTCAACGATGAACAGGTACGAAGGATGCGAGCGGACGCCAGGGCCAAACAAGTTCGTCATCCGGCTGGGAAGGACCCTCCCCAGAAGGTGGAGCTCTAGGGTTATTTCTTTCCTCGATATCTGCATGATGCGGTATATGGAGGCCTAGGTGTTACAGTGGAATCCAAGGACGGAGGTTACTCCAGGATGAGGGAGGCTCTTGCGAAGGTGCAAACCGAGCGAGCGGAGCCTTAGACGGAGCAAATTCATCCTTGAGTTGAAGCAAGCAGCCTCGAAGAAGGAAGCCGGGTTGAAGACCGGTGGCTCGCAGTTGGGACTGGGACGGTACATGGCTCAGAAAAGTAGGTATGCTTGGGAAAATAGCGTGTTGGTTTAAGTCTGGGCGGAAATTTTGAGATGGCGGAATTATGAGTCACTATGATAACAACGCCGATCTGATATAGCCACAGGTTTAAACAGAGCAAGGCGTCCGGCGATCCCCGACATCTAATCAACGCTCCACAGGCAATGGGATCGCGTAATTGGGCTCTACCAAAAGCGACAAGACGTGAGAACATCGCTAGCCGCGCTCTGCGTCTCTTACGCTGTAAGGGTGATAAATTAGAAATTCGGCATGCGCATGAATACGGCGAGCAAGTGTTCTAACATGCGTCTTTGGCGCACGAGAACGCCCATGGCTGGCACGCCAATCAAAGGGGAACACAGAGGACGCGTAGAGAACACGGGATGACGAGGCGGCCAAGATCGCACCAACAATACGGAGGGCAAGTTCGTCTGCTTCATTTGCAGGGCTTGAGTTGACGTCAAAACACCGAGCTCTGATTGGCTGATTGAAAAAAAAAATAGTGGACAGGCCTTGTAGCGTCCAGGGTTGTTCTTAATTCGGCCACTCGGACGCGCAGCAACCGAAGATTCAGACACGCTCCGGCCGCCGCGTGCATTGGCCACAGCGCCTGGTCATCGCACCTCCTCCGACACCTGCTATACGCCTCACTCCCGTGCCCACGACGAGACGAAAGCCTAGGCTGGGATAACCGAAGTCTCTAAACGTTTGCCTACAGAGAGTACTGTGGTCACGCACACACCGACATCCGTCGGCTCCCGTGCGAACATTTCTCCGCTCGACTCGATCGCCTCTGGAAGCTTCAGGTTACGCTACCCGGCTCATGTGCAGCGTCGTCAGCAGACTTTGCCGCACGCTTACATCGGCTCCGCGCAATATCCATTGCATAACGTTGGATAATATCCTAGCAATCTCACCGTCCATATCGGACACTACTCTCTCGCCCGGCTGCCACGTTGCCTCGCGGTTGCACCACTTCACGCCACCGCGAGGTAACCCTGGCCTCGCGTGTACAAAAGAATGCAGCACAGGACGACACAGGGAGACCAGACTGAGATAAGTAGACTTGGGACCAGCGGCCTGGACAGACGCCTGCATCGCGTCACCATCATATTGTTAATTTGGCCATATCATAACTAAATAAAACGCTACACTTCTTACCAACCGTTCCAGATCAGATAAGCATACGAGTCGCGCTGGAACAACCTAAGAAGCTGCATTAGTGACCCGGACGAGCAAGAACCTACAGCCTCAAGGCACCTAGCATTGAGGTCTACCCGCTATCGTTTTAATCAAAGCCAATTAGATCTCGTCGTCGTCCTGACGAGTCACGACACCGCAATACCCGCCCAAGAAACAGACGACTTGCTCTCTGCATAGGTTGCATCGTGGGGAAACAAATTCAAGTGGGCACGAGGTGCGAACGGAGCAGACGAACTCGCACGCCGTATAGATATCTTATAAAGGGTAATTTTCTGGAGACCGATCTGTTTATGTTAATATCAGTCATATCAGTCATAAACAGACATAAACATATCAGTCATAAACAGATTCTACATTAACAAATTAATACAAAATAGCTTCCTTTTATATTTTTCAGTCAACCTACAGTGACTTGAGTGCAATTGTGGGCTCATGAATGGCCTCAATGTCCTCGCTTCTGAGGATTTATTTTATTAGGTTATGTCAATAACAACACGTATTAATTAGCGATGTTTTGGCTACATTTCCTACTAGAAAAGTTTAAACAAATATAGTGGGCAGAGGCCTTGTAAGGCTGCATGTCCCATCCAGGTCTAAAAAAAATTTTATAAGTGGACTGTACTTGTTTCCTTCCAATAAATATATCGGGTGGCGAGCACACACTATTTTATTTTCAGTGATATGGACATATGGGGTGAGTTTCAAAGCCTCTGTTACACTAAGATGACATAAATTATATGAATGCTTTATTAGCAACGCGAAGGTTGTTCGACAAACTTTTGGAAGGCGTTTTTCTAATTCAAAAGGCTACGGGGTGAGATACCCTCATCATTGAGTCCTCTGCGCATAGACCATAGAAGATTGTCCTAAACTGAATTATAATCACGGGCCTCTAAACTGCCACCTAGGGTTCCTTCAAACACATATTCTAAATCAGCACACTCATTTTTTTTCACGCAATCCTCAGACTCTTTTTATTAATCGGAGAATGAGTTGCAGCATCCCTTCGGACGACCCTTTTCAGAGTCTAGGGCGAAGGGGGCGGTGAACGGGAAGACGCCTCACGCGGTGCCTCAGCAGAGGACGGCATGGCAGACCAAAGCGACGCCTGGTGTGGCATCTGTGAAGCCGCCTCCTCACTACGCCATACTCTGATGCCTCCTCTTCTGCCTCCGCTTGCTCTTCTAGCTCGTCTAGGACTTCTTCCTCCTCTGTCCCGGCCACGAGTTGTTCGAGTTCGTCAGCCATTTCCGTGCCCAGCTCCTTCAGGGTTTCCTTGTCCGCGGCAGGAACTTGGTCTTCGCTGTCGTACCACGGGTACCACCACCTTCCGCGGACCCACCTCCCAAGGCGCGGGTAGCCCACGCGGTGGTCGAGGTGTACCCTGGCGTACTCGGCAGCATCGTCTAAAGAAAAGGGGGGCACCTTAGTAAGGTCAGGACATGTAACTGACAGCTCCCCCCATCTCGATATAGCTCCGCATCCTAACAAAGTTGTGGTATTAGCAATGTGAAAACGCCAAACAAGTGTGTATAAAACAAGAATCGTGGCTATAATCGCGGACACCCTGTGTTTCTTCAACCGTCCTGGACTCCTGATTATACCCGAGTAAGTTATTAACGGCTGAATTTAGGTTGAAACGTTATGATTACAAAAAATATGGTTTTTGTTGTTTGCTGGTATATTCAATATACAGGCTTCTAATATCGCTAGAATTTTTTGCGACCAGCGTGACAACACTTTTATTAGTGAGTATGCCATTTGAAAACCGGTCTAACTGGTAGGATATTAGTTTCGCCTATCCCTTTTGGTGTAACACTTTCATTCACCAGGTAACATACTCGTAGATATATAAACAATTATGTGTAGTATATGTGCATATATATATGATTATATAATGTATAATATATTTACTATTATATATAATTATAAATGTATAATATGTCTACTAATATATATATATATATATATGTATATATATATAGCATGTATCGCGTGCATTGCGTGCTTTCTAGCGAGCTGCTTGAAAACAATATTAATTTCCCACCAATAATTCATAAATCTCTAGATGTGTTTTTATGCCATGCGTTTTATTTGTCACAGTTATATTTTTAACTAATACTGGTCTCTTGTTACGGGGTTTGATACTAGTCCGAGAAATACATTGTGCATTTGTTAAACAGCGAGGTGTCTTTGATACGAGGAAGTTAGAAGGTACGTTGTTTCACGTTGCTAAGATTTTCCAAACACTGCATCCAAATATTTGTTTTCATTAAACAAGATGTTCTGAGTAATAATGATGCCCAAAGAAGTGCAAGCATAAAAGTAGTTTGAGTAACATTTTCACTTACCACTCGCCTCCTGTTTTGGCTCCCTAAAATATAAACCAGAAATTAAAAAAAAAAAAACTATCGGAAACTATCGGAAGATTTTATAGCAAATTGTACACTTACACGGCGGAGCCATCTGTAAAAGCGAAAGACATAGAAGGTTTGAATAAATAAATGATACTTGTTGAAGAGCGAACGCTTTAGGGGACCGAGTTTACTGATGCAGGGACTTACAAACAGCGACGACCAAAGCCAGGAACAGCAGAGGGAACAGCAGCTTCATAGTTGCTAGGAGATATGAACATGCGATTGATATGTTAACAACTCAGAGCATCTGAGAAATTCTGAGTGTAGTGTTTTTTTTTAAGTAATGCCAGTAATGCAGAGATATTTACCTTGGAAAAAACGGTTAATATAGTAATGTCGAACAGCTTGAAGCTTTGCGAAATTTGCTGAATTTAGCGCACAAATATGGCACACAATTACCTAAACTTAGGTTCTTTTATTGCGGCCCCTGAAAGCCCCAACGTCCTATATTGACCCTGATTTTATTCAATAATATATCAAAACCGAAGCGAAATTGACTCCAGACACAACGACATTCTCCAGAAACGATTTGTAGGTGTTCACTTTTGAAGTGTTTTGCAGTATTGGCATAATACAAATAAATTGTTCGACCACAATTTTATTTTGACGACATAATCAAGTTTTGTCTTATTTAAATAATGAAGAATATACGGGCTAGCTGGTGAACATCCAGCGTGTTGATCCTCCAAGTCTAGGAACAAAAGTACCTACTTAAAGCAAAAGAACTCAACTGAGCGAACCTTTTGTTTACCGGATAACTTGGGTGTGCGAGCCAAAAACATTATTCCAAAATTTTAGAACCAATGTAATTTCACAAGGCAGCATTGGAATCGAAGAAATCTTCACGAAACTTAAAAAATATATATATGTATTATAATCTACACACAAATATAAATAGCAATTTTGTCTAGAACAACACTCAATATAATTGCTTCAGGGGATATACCGCCTTTCAACAATGAGCAGATTGAGACTCACCTAAACGATGGTTCCAAATGTGGAGCGAAAGTGTCCTGTCGTAGTTGCGGGGCTGGTTTATATACAGCAGACTTGAGTCACTCTTTTGACCTGCATCCTGTTCAATCAGACGTTATCTATTCTATTGTGTATAAAATCGAAAACATATTTCACCTAGAACGAGGGCCTTCCCGATACGAATGGAATAACCGCTTGTTTGCTCGGATAAGCCCCTGACGTGGTTCTGTCAATAGCATTTAGTCAGCAAATTCAGAAACAAGACGCCTCTAAACCTTGTTGTTTTTCTTTTCATGTAGGTCACCTAGCTTTATCTTTGTTTATCATGCGCATACAGACTAGTAGTATTTCGCGAATACAAAAGAGTTTATCTTTTCCTAGCCGGATCTTGGCCTATTGGTTACTGTGTGTGTCAATACCTAAGAAACCCTGGCAATAGGTTCTGTTTACAACTCATTCGACCCCTAGAATGGCGTGAGGAAGGTTGTGACCAAAGTGCTGACGGATGGTTGTGAACAATCATATGCGCACTGATAACCACTTGGCACATTTTTTGCCGCTAAGCTGCACATCTTCGAACCATATTGAAGTATGTAATAAGAGGTTGTAAAAGATCGCAAGCTGGGTTAAGTCGGAGGAATTTTCTCAACAATTAGTGTAATAATGTGTGTCTTTAATCTCACCTCGCCAGAAAACGGGTTGTACTTAAGGGTTTGGCGAATTTCAAAGCAGAAGTTGAGTACTTTTGGCTCTGAAGCTAAATCCAATGTATACTCAAACTCTCGCTCATCCCTTTATTTCCCAGGCCTCACTCCAACAGACACGCACTAAAAAAAAAAGAAGATAATTCTTTGATGAGCTTAACGTTTAATAATTAAGGTGCTATTCAATACATTTACTGAAATTAAGTACTTTATATAACTCCCTTTTTATTGTTCTAAATTTAATTAATGAAGCTTCAAAACAGTGGCAAATGTAGAGCTTATTCTGAATAATAATGTTCATTTATTATCATAACCGAGTTATACAACTTCATGAATTTTTTTTTTTACTTTTGCAAAAATATTTTAATTGAAATTGAATTCCATACTTTATCAATTATAACAAAACAAGAGACATCTGAACTAAGCAAGAATATAAAGAATGTTTAGTGCAATGTTTATTGATTTATAGCGTGCTGTGTTTTAATTAACTGCTGTGGTTAATAATAGTATGTTTAACACATTAATAACATCTCAGCTCGCATACACTCCAGTCACATGTGACTGGTATAATATTAAATCCCCGAAGCTTCAGTTTATTTAAAAGAAAACAGGATTACGTTTTTTTCGTGAATATTTAGGTCTCAAATTTCCCAGTAAATATAAGACAAACAATACAATTCTGACTTTTGAAATAGAAAATTAAATAATCTGTATATATTATATAACTATAAGCATTTCGTTACGTAACTAAAATATTGCAGCACATACCTTCCTTAAACTTCATGATAAAAAAAACGTCGCTGCACGTACATTGCGACCGCGTTTTCTCAGAAACAAACTTGTTTAAGCATAGGGTTCACCCACGTCATATCTGAATGGAATTCAGATTTTCATGCGTCTTATTTTGAGCAATACCCTGAACAGCATTTTTATTAACCTTGGTTTTGATTTGATGCTTTTATTCTTTCTTGAATAATACTGAATGGTCGTTTTATATTTTATAGTTATTTTAGTCTCTCGTGTGTATTCGTATAATATTACGCGCTTAAAGAAGCGGAGCAATATAAAAAAATATGCAGCCTGCATTTTTTTTTTGTTTTTGTTTCCTAAAAAAAGGAATAGAAAATACGACTCCTATTTTTAAAGTATCGCGATTCCGCTGTGTGATAGCCAAATATAAACAAACAAAAACGGACTATTTCGCTATTAGCAGTAACGAGTGAACTACGGCGTTACGTCAACACGGGTGGCTTAAAATAAGTTGTTAAATGTGCCTTTATTCACTCAATATAATGTTACGTTTGTAAAGTTTGCCATTTCAACATGAATAAACGTGTCGAAAATCATTCCCTCTGCTCTGCCCAGCTCGGCTAAAGGATCAGGATGTGGGGACTACCCGCGCTTGATCGTGGGACAGCTTTCAGTGCGAACGTTGCGATTCTGCGGCCGAATCACTGCCCCAGCGGCACAGCTCCATGGTTTGCGAGGTTTCGTCTCACATGTGTCGACCTCTACTTGTCGAATACTAGCGCTTTTTCCCGCTGCCATTCCCAGTGTCGCTCGCAAAAAGCAGACGCGCACCACGGATTTCGGCAGCTTCAAATAACCACTTCAAGGCCTTATTGTTCGCTTCTATATTTTATTTTAATAAATTAAAAAGGAAATCATGAGTCCTTCGCCTCTTTGAAGGTGGATGACTACCGAAGGTGTTCAGCAACAACACAGAGGTGCCCCGAGAAGCTGGAGGAAACTAGACACGCGCGACGGGACGGCCACCCGACGGAAAGATGACACGAGCGACGGGACCGCCACCACGGGAGAGCGGAAGGAAAGGAAACTAGGCACGCAAGCGGCTTGGAATGACGGCATAGAAGGGGCGGTGCGAGCGTAGACATGGCTGACGCGGGTCGCACAAGTGCAAAACTTTGAGAAACCTTTCGTATCAACCTGAAAATGTACTAATCTTAAAAATGGTGCCTATTGATGAAAAATCTACTGAAAATGCAGATCAAGTGATGACACGTCTAAAATTTTGCATAGAATGAAGCAATTTTGCCTCAAATACGGAACCTGATCTTTTGTTGGCGTACACAAAAAATCAACGGAACCCTAGCCATAAGCAGCTTCGGTTTAAAAACAAACAGGCATACTCAACACAAATAAACAAGATTGGTCTGCATTTGCTTAGTGTTCCTTTGTTTTAAGCTGCTGTTTTAGAAACATTCGATTTATTCACTAAAGGATGCGAATACGCCGACCTTCTAACACAAAAGGAAAGATGAAAGGAATACTTGATCGTGGAAATACCGTTCCCGAAACCCGGGCAAGTTTAAACACGCCATTAAATCAGAAAAGGAGTACAAAGGGAAGGGCCCAACACGGGAAACAAGATCCACCCTATATTCTTTCCGCGTGTCGTCTGCTTGAAACATAAACCCCCGTCCTATGCGCAAGATTTCCCCGCAGTGTTTCTCCTCCTGTCTCGTAATTCCACGCCGGCCTGTGCAGAGTCACAGATATCTGCCGCTGTGTAACGAGCCAAGCGTGCCGCGGTTCAGCGCGGCGCGGGTAGGCGAAGAGGCAGCGCGCGCTGAAGACTCTCGGGAGAGAATTCAAACTGACACTCTCGGTTTCCGGTGCACCCGGCTGCAGGTCACTGCGCACGTGAATCGGAATACGGTGTTAGAGATGATTGAGATTTCTGACAATCAAGAAAATAACTAACTAACGCAGAGTCAAAATTGGTTCTCATATCTTCACTCGAGACCGGACAGGAAACAACACCCGTGATTATTTGACCGAAGTCCGAACATTATTGCACGAACCTCTTTGATTAGATCATTATGCTTGGAACAAAAAACCTGGCCTGTATGCAATAAACATGGGCATAAGCATCATGAATAAGCTAATAAACGAAATAGATAAATAAAGAAATAAGTGCAACCTATTTTTTTTTCGTGCGTTCAAATTTTGTTGCATGAACTTTAACAGTAAGAGATAGATTAAATACAATTGGCAGGTCGCTGTCCCAAGTCGCTGATAATCGAGTTTATATAGATACTTACATAAAGCGTGATTAGGGAACTCAACATGCCACAAATACCCAAATAGCCGCCGATGAGTCCCTTACTATATGCTTGTTTTGATGAGGCGGCATTGTAGAATAACGTCCACAGGAATGCGTTTTGCGCATAGGAGTAGATGATAGGCCCGGTTATAGTAAAATGTGAACTGAATTGTGATAAATGATTGTTCGAAGGAAGCATTCTTTAGATAGTATATAACTTATTTCGTGTTCAGGTTGCCTTGCGCAGTTGTAACTACCCCAAGAGTTTTATATATGAGTAAAGAAAATGTCCTTGTCATGCTCCGGCTGAGCTGAAAGGACGCGAGACATCGTCTTTATTATTTACGGCAATGGGGCTTCCGAGGCGCTTGGCCGCAGTCAGAAGACGGTAAGTGTAATATCTCTTGAGTAACTCAGCCAGCATAACGTCAGAACCTGATAATTCCAATACAGTTAATCAATTCAAATAAAAGCAAACAGTTTAACCTAACTTAAAAAACTAGAACGCAGAAGGAACGCATTTCTGTTTCCTACAAGTAAACACAATGCCCCGAATGCATACTTTTTAAGACATTCTCTTAGCAAGATTTGTGCACTTGAAAAAAATTACATCCCTCGTTTTGGTCGAATCTAACTACACAGTCTCATCGTTTTAAACCTTTGATCGCTTATTCTGGGGGAATCGCGTTTGGAAGCATACTATACAAGGAATGCACTGGATCAGAATTAGAATTAAGTTAATAGGTTTACAATAAATAGTTTCTACACTATTTTTATTTATTTCGATATTTTCAGGGTCCAGGAGATATTACAGAGGGGGTGTATAAAAGGCGTTTTAAATATGCGTAAACAGGAGGTACAATATTAAAACATCGACAATAACAACAAGAAACTAATTAACGTAATGCATGATTAGAAAGGTGTTTATTTATGCCGTTATTGAACAATAAGACGTCTTCAATAGATGCGATCGAGTGGGGAAGGCCACTCAGAGTTTGTCCTGGGTAGGAACGAATCAAGAAACCTATCTGCGCTGCAATAGGGGATGCAAACTTTAAACTGGAGGTCAACGCGGCATGCAGAAAGCTCGCACTACAATGATGAGCTAGCGAAGAAAATTTTATGAAAAAGAAAATACCCGGAATTGTACTACGAAATTGAAATTCAGGAAGCCTAACATTAGATTTCATTAGTGAAACGCTCGTGAGACGAAAATATGTAGGCAGGATTCAACGCGCTGATCGATTCGGAACGGACTCTATGGCATCAATAAAT